TGGGGCAGTGATGGCGAACCTTTTGAGCTCGGCATGTCAGCATTTTGGAAAACCCTAACTTAACTCTGGTGCCGTGTCACATATAGAAATTTTTTTATATTTGCAACCATAGTAAAACAAAGACTTATATTTTTGATATTTATTTTATATATTTAAATGCCATTTAACAAAGAAAAATCAACCAAAAAAATGAGTTCGCGTGTCATAGGCTCGCCATCACTGGTATATATCTTTGTTTTTCTTCCAGTACCATCCTATTTCAATTACTTTAGCTTTTTAATATATTTTGAAATCAGGAAGTGTGATGCCTTCAGCTTTCCCCCCTCCTTGCCCTCAAGATTGCTTTTGCTATTAAGTCTCTATGTCAGTGGTTCTTAACCTTCTGGCCCTTTAAATACAGTTCCTCATGTTGTGACTCAACCATAAAATTATTTTCGTTGCTACTTCATAACTGTAATGTTGCTACTGTAAGAATCATAATGTAAATATCTGATATGCAGGATGGTCTTAGGCGACCCCTGTGAAAGGGTCGTTCGACCGCCACAGGGGTTGCGACCCACAGGTTGAGAACCGCTGCTCTATGTGTACTTCAGGGTTGTTTTCTATATTGGCTTTAAAATCGTTTGAATTTTGATAGGGATTGTATTTCATTTGTAGATCCCTTTATTTTTTTTAATTTACTAGTAAAGGCAGTGTTTATTAAAATAGATTTCATTTTCAAAATGTAGTAGAATCAGCTGTTAAGCGCGTATACATTTTTTGGGGACACCTTGTATTTTCTGGGTAGAATGACAAGAAGAGTGAAAGTGAGGTGGAAATCACTTTTTAACTTGCTCTAATCTTACATATATTTATGGTATTTCTCAAAATATTTTCCAAATCTATTAGATCCTAACATGTGAGGTTCATGATACCACACTTAGAAACAAATGTTAAAAACCAATTGGAGAAAAACATCCTAATATGCCTCCACTTTAGCATTCCGCCCTTCCTTCCTCCAAGAGTGAAAAAAGAAGAGCCCTTCGGACATTTCTTAATTATAACAGGAGGCTTGGTGAGGCAGGCACCGAACCTCAGAGCCTTCTGGAAAATAGAACAGAAATAGCCTTCCTCCCCTTAACGTTTGTATTCACTTATTATCATTAGGATTGAAGAGTGTCCTGAGGAAAAAAGACTAGAACCATTGCACTATTGGAATTCAGACATAAATGTGATGAGTGGGTGGCCCTAGTGAAAGACTACAAATAGGAGCCATAGGGCTTCCGAGGGAACATTAGAGCCAAAGCATAAAGTCAACATGTTTCAATCTTCTATTTACACTTAGAAACATCAGAGTTGGTGCCAAGAATTGGTGAAACTTCTCTTAGACTTTTCATTTATACGGAGGGCATAAAAACACCTGGACTCAGAGGGCTTGGGAAAGGGGTTTTCCCTGAAGAGAACTGTGCTATGCAACCTTTGGGTTCCCCAGGTTTGGAAGGGTGGGGGGACACTTGCCACTCATCTCAAGCTAGTGATCAGGATTTCAACAGGACTGCAGAGAACACACGCGCTGGTGTCTGACTCTCACTTTAAACTTAATGAGTGAATGAATACAGCAAAAAGTAAATGGCGGTATGGGGCAGCCTATACTCTCAGGTTTGGTCAATGGGAAAAATGGGTGAGTGTTTCCCAAGGGCAGGGCTACATAACCAAGAATGAATGTGGGGTCAGCTTTGGTTCTGTCCAGTGAGACTTCCTGGAGGGACAAACAGGCCCTAGTGGAGAGAAGCTACAGATAGCACCAGGGATCCGTGGTGTTCCAGACTGATGACCTTCCACTCTGTGGCTTAATCCCTTGTTTCTCCTGCTCCCTTCTCCTCCTTTCCCTCCATTTGTAGATCCCTTTAGATAATATGGACAGTTTAACAGTTACAAATCTTCCAATACATTAACACAGGACATCTTTCCACTTACTGGTGTCAGCTCTAATTTCTGTCATCAGTTTTATAGTTTTCAATGTACAAAATTTTTACCTCTTTGGTTAAGTTTATTTCTAAATATTTTTTTTTGTTTTTGATGCTAGTGGAAATGGGATTGTTTTCTTAATTCCATTTTCAGTTATGTTATTAGTCTCTAGAAACTCAACTTATTTTTCTATGTTGATTTTGTGTCCTATAACTTTGCTGAATTCATTTAATTAGTTCTTTTAGTTTTATTAGTTCTAATACTGTGTTTTTTTGTGGAGCCTTTAGGGTTTTCTGTATATATGATTATGCCACCTGGGAACAGAGACAATTTTAGTTATTTATTTGGATGTATTTGATAATCTTGCATATTGTTCTTATCAGGACTGCTAGTATTATGTTCAATAGAAGTGACAAGAGTGGGCATCCTTGCCTTGCTTTAGATCTACCAGGAAAAAGCTCTCAGTTTTTCACTTTTGAGTATGATGTCAGCTGTGAGCTTCTCATATATGACCTTTATTTTGCTGAGTAATTATTTTTATATATATAATTTGTTGAATGTTTTTATTCTGAAAGAGTGAATTTTGTCAAATGCTTTTTTGCATCTATTGAGATGATTTTAAACCTTCATTCTGTTATGTGTTATATTACATTTAATGATTTTCATATGCTGAACCATCCTTGCATCCCAGAGATAAATTTCATTTGATCATGATGTGTGATTTTAATGTACTGTTGACTTCAATTTGAATACATTAAGGATTTTTCATCTGTGTTTATCAGAGATATTGGCCCATTGTTTCTTTTTCTTGTAGGGTCCTTATCTGGATTTGGCATCAAGATAATGGTGGCCTCCTAAAATGAGTTTGGAAGTGTTCTTTACTCTATAATTGTTTTGGAAAACTTTGAAGAGGATTGGTATTAACTCTTATTTAGATGTTTGGTAGAATTCACCTGTGGATCTACCTGGTCCTAGAAACTAGAATAGGAAACATCAGGTTCTGGAGAAATAGAACCACTTCTTACTGTTATTTCTTTATTTTCTTGTGTTTTAAACATATTGGAATTTCATTAGATATTAAGTAAATTAATAGATAGAAAAATATAAACAATATAATTTTCTTTATCTCAAATACATAATTATTCTTGTACCAATCTTTAAGTCTTAATAAGGAGAAAATTAGGAGAAAGGAGTAATGCTGTTATTTGCTTGATCTTCACATCATTAGGTAACTTAACATTAAAAAAAAACCTTTTCTCCATAATTGGAGTTGAATATACACTCTTTGTAGAAGAATGGATTTCTTGACATTCAATCAATTTGCCGTGCTTCTCTGGAAAAATTTTACCATAAAGGTATGTAAAAGCATTCAAGGAAAATATCTATAAATGCCTGCCTGTTGCAATTCAGGATATGTGTGTTTTAAAAATCAATTTAATAGCTGTAGGTAGCTCTTCCAAACCTATAAAACTATATTAATCAATAGTATAGTCTGATCTATAAGAAGGTTGGTAGTGGAGAGGGGAGGGGGTGGTACAAGAAAGTCCAGGAAAGACTAGTATTTTCTAGTGTTAAATTAGAAGAATATAATAGAACTATTTATTGGCATTTAATGTGTACTCTTAATTAACACTATCTTTTGTTCCTCTTCTAGAGAAGGCATTACATTAATTTATTATTTGAAGTCCTAACGGCAGTGGTGTTTCCAATGTTGCTTTTGCTATTCCGTTCATTTGCTACTATACAAGTTGCTGGACCTCAATATTTTAAACCTCTACGCATCAGTGGTTTGCCTTCTTTCCTCCAAAATCCTCAAGAGTGGGAATTGATTTACGTGCCTTCTAATATTAATGTGGTAAAAGAGATCATTGAGAACATGAAGAGGAATTTAAACATCAGTATAAAAGGTTAGAAATAAAGGTTTTCTGTAAAACTTATCCTTAATTTGTTATAGAACTAAAACAATCCTATATAAGAAAGAGGTAATATGCAAATTGACCGTCACACCCTCGCACAAGATGGCTGCCCCCGTGTGGTCAAAGATGGCCACCACAAGATGGCCAGCAGGGGAGGGCAGTTAGGGGTGATGAGGCCAGCAGGGGAGGGCAGTTACGGGCAACCAGGCTGGCAGGGGAGAGCAGTTGGGGGGGACCAGGCCTGCAGCCAGGCCTGCAGTGGAGTGCAGTTAGGGGGGACCCAGGCATGCAGGGGAGGGCAGTTGGGGGCAACCAGGCCTGCAGGGGAGCAGTTAGATGTCGATCAGGCTGGCAGGGGAGTGGTTAGGGGGTGATCAGGCCAGCAGGCAGAAGTGGTTAGGAGGGGCAGGGCAGGCAGGCGAGTAGTTGGGGGTCCACAGTCCTGGATTGTGAGAGGGATGTCCTAGATTGGAGAGAGTGCAGGCTGGGCTGAGGAACACCTTCCCCCCCTGTACAAATTTCATGCACCGGGCCTCTAGTGTAAGAAGTAATAAAGTTGGAGGAATTACACTTTAAAATTACAATTTTAAGACTTATAATATAATTGTAGTGATAAAGACACTGTGCTATTGGAGGAATAGACACATAGAACAAAGAACCCAGTGATAGACCTATACAAATAGTCCAGAATATTTTTTATAATGGTGCAAAAGAATTCAGTGGAAGGATAATTTTTCAACAAATGTGCTGAACAATTGGACATCAATAGACAAAAAAATAAAAATTGCATCAAAATGAATCAGATCTAAAAGTAAAATGATACAAAATTTGGAGAGAAAATATTTGTAACTTAGAGTTAGTTGAAAAATTATCAAATATGACACCAAATGTATCATCCATGAAAGAAAAAAAATGGATTAATTATGCTTCTGGTATATATGGTTGATCTTGGAGTTAAAATATATATACTTAATTGTCACACTTTACCTAGTTTACCACTTGTCATAATGTCAAATGATTACCAATATATATAGATCCCTTTATGTATTTCTCTTTATGTTGTAGTTTTCAAATCTACATAAGTTGAAAATCTTACCAGGAAGTGTTATAATTCACACACATATTTTAAAGAACATAAGAAAACTGTTTCTCACATATTTACCATGGCTGTGGCTCTTCCTTCATCCTCGAAGTTCCAAGTTTTCTTTTGATATCATTTTCCTTCTTTCTGAAGAAATTCCTTAAATAATTTCTTAGAGCAGGTCTATTAGTAACAAATTCTCTTTGTTTTCCTTCATGTGAGGATGTATGTATTTCAACTTCATGGTCTTGAGGTTATTTTCATTTGTTATAAAATTCTGGATTGACAATTATCCCTTTCAGCATTAAAAAAAATATTTGCCACTTTCTTCTGATCTCCTTGGTCTCAGGGAAAAAATATCTGTGATACTTTGAATCCTTGTTTTCCTATAGATAATGTGTCATTTCTCTCTGGGTGCTTTTAAGACATTTTCTTTCTTTGTCTGTCAAAAGTTAGATTATGATGTGTCTGAGCATGGATTTCGTTTGGTTTATTCTGTATAGAGTTCACTGAGCCTTTTGAATCTGTAAGTTTGTCTCTTTCAACAAATCTGGAGAATTTGGGGCATTATTTCTCAAAATTGTTTTTCAATAAGGCCTTCTTTCTCTTCTAAGACTATGAAGACATAAATGCTAGACATTTTATATTTCCCAAAAGAGGCTCTATTCAATTTCTTTTCAAAATTTTTTCTCTCTTGTTTCAATTAGGTAATTTCTGCTGATCTGTCTTCACTGACTGCTTTCTCTGGTATTTCAGTACAGCTATTGATCCATAAATAGTGTTTTTTTTTTAAAGCACAGTTTTAAGTGATCTCCATCTTCTGATTTACCTAAAGAAAAAGAGAAAAAAAAACCAATAGCTTTTTTGAGATATAATGCACATACCATACATTCACTCATTTAAATTCAGTGGCTTTTAGCATATTTCCAGAGTTGTGCAACCATTACCACAATCAGTTTTAGTGCATTTTTTTGTCAAAAATAAGCCTCATAACCTTCAGTCAGGACACCACAATTTCCTATCTTCAGCGGGATTAGGAAAACATCTACTTTTTTTTCCAAATACATTTGCCTATTATAAACCTTTTATGTAAATTGTTTATATACACCCTTTCCATATTGATTTTATATAAATGCAATATGTAAATTTTTGTGATTGGCTTCTTTCACTTCATATAATGTTTTCAGAGTTTATCCTTGTTATAGCATGTATCATTACTTCATTCCTTTTTGTTGTTAAATATCACATTGTATGAATATACTGTATTCAGTCAGTATATCCTTCATCAGTGGATGGGCATTTGGGTTGTTTACACCTTTGGGTTATTATAAATTGTACTTCTGTGACTACACATCTGTTAGTTTAATGTAGACATATGTTTTCATTTCTTTTGGGTATACACCTAGGAGTAGAATGAGTACCTTATGTGGTAACTCTGTGTTTAACTTTTTGAGGGACTGACAGGCTTAATTTAAAGTTGTACCATTTTACATTCTGGTCAGCAGTGTATGGAGGAACCATATTTCAACATCCTCACCAGCACTTGTTGTCCTCTATCTTTTTTATTGTAGCCATCTCAATGGATGTGAAGTGGTATCTCATTGTGATTGTGATTTGCATTTTCCTGATGAATAATGACTTACCTATATACAGGGGTGGGCAAAACTAGGTTTACAGTTGTGAGTACATGAAACACAGAGTTTATTCTTATATTATTACTAGAGGCCTGGTGCATGAAAATTCATGCACTGGAGTGGGGGTCCCTCAGCCTGGCCTTCCCCCTCTCACAGTCCGGGAGCCCTCAGGGGCGGGAGGCGACCCGGTGATCAGGGGAAGGCGATGCCCCCATCACACCTCTGCTGCTGCCACTGCCGGCAGCGCAAGCCTCAGCTGGCCATGGTTACCTGAGCCTCGGGCGGCCCTGGGCGGCTGGGCAACCACCATCTGAGGCTTCCCTGCACCTCGGGATGGTCCTAGGCTGTTGGGCAGTTGCCATCCAAGGCTTGCTTGCACCTTGAGCCAGCCCTGGGCGGCTGGGGGGCTGAGGGGCCTGGGGGACTCCAGGGGCAGGTGCACGGCAAGGCCGGGCCTGTCTGAGGGTGGGCCCAACCTTGCCGTGCACCTGCCACCCTGGCGGGGCTCAGGGGACTGGGTGCTGCCATCTTGTGGCTGTGGGCACCGTCATCTTTGAGAGTGGGGCAGTCAATTAGCATATTCCCTCTTTATTAGATAGTATTTATTAATTATTGTATTATTTCCCTTATGAACAAGTCTAAACCTACTTTTGCCTACTGTATATGCTTTATAATGATTATTATTTAAAATTGTAGTAGAATTTTATAAAATACCTAAAATTGTTTTGAACCCCCAAATTCCATTAAGTAGTTATGATAGCAATATTTGAGAAACAGTGTTTTTAAACTTATAATATTTAGACAAAATTTTGTCCATGTAAACTAGTATCTCCCCCCTCATGAGGAATTATCAGACATTTTTATTTAAGTGAACACTTTTCCTTTCTACAGTTAAAGGCTTTTATTCAGAAAGTGAGTTTGAGAAGTATGTGAAGTATGACTATAAATCTCAAAAAGTGCTGGCTGCCATTGTTTTTGACAATGACTTTGAAAACATCAATGACTCTCTGCCACTTCAGGTGAGAAATTTTTATTTAAAATTTTCTAATAATTGCCCTTCTAGTTCCTAAAATTTTAATGAATTTGACAAAATTAACTCTATTTTATAAATGAAGAAACCAATTTTTCCAAGAGGAAACTGCTAGTGTACAATAGAACAAGAATATGAATCCAGGTCTTGTGCCTTAGATTTATGGGAAACTTTGACTACTCAAACAATGCTTCTAGTTCTATGAAGCATAATGGTGTAATAAATAAAGCAGATGCATCTTCACTAATAGACAACCAGTCATGAGAAAAAAATCCTCTTTCTTTGAGCGAAACAGAATTTGAGTCCTTTCATAAATCTCTAGGGAAAACTCGAAGGCTTTGCCACACTGATTTAGAATTAGGACATCTATAGACATTGAGAATCTGATTATAGCATAGCCACTGGGAAGGAGAGAGAAAGAGTGCTTTGAAATTGTTATCTCCTAAGAAGATCCTATAGAGATTATATTGGTGGTGGTGATGGAAATAAATGGTCAATCTGCAATATATAAACACTAGAAGCCTGTTGCATGAAGATTCGCGCAATAGGCCTTCCTTTCCCTGGCTGCCGGCACTGGTTTTCCTCCGGCACCTGGGACCCAGGCCTTTGGTCTGGCCGCAGCGGAGAAGCCAAGCCTCTTCAGTCTTCAGTTCTTCAGTCTTTAGTCTTCAGTCTTCACTCCGGCCGGAGCCCTCAGTCTTTGTTCTGCACCTCTGTATGCAAATTAACCGCCATCTTGTTGGGTTAATTTGCATACTCATCTGATTGGCTGGTGGGTGTAGTGGAGTGACACCAATTTGCATGTTTCTCTTTTATTAGTGTAGATGGAACCAAATTCTGTGTTTAAAATACAGATGCTTGTCAGTTGAAGGCAAGATTAATAAAACCACTACTAGAATAGTTCATGTTATTTCTGTGTGTCCCATCCTTACATGATTATTCTTCTGTTCCAACTTATTTCCATTTATGGAATCAAAATTATCCATATGCTTATATGGGTTTAGGCTCAACAATATACATTGGCTTAAAGCATATTCGGTGCAATTTCAAGTTTTATTTTTATCACTGATTGACTGTGCTATGTCCCGAAATATTTGAACTCGATTCCTGACACCAAAATTTCTCAAATTTTTTGCTCAGGTGCTTGGCCTTCTCCCCCAGTTTTATTTAGATACTAGTGGCCTGGTGCATGAAATTCGTGCACATTATAAGGGGATTAATTAGATTTTAATATTGCTATTTGCCCTTTCTCTATAATATTATATTTAGATTTTTAAAATCTATAATAGAAGTATCAGAGATGAAAGAAAATTAGTAAAATGTATATAAAAATCTTCCTCCTGTCAGAGTCTGGGGTGCACCATGGGACCCAGAGTCAAGTCCCCACCCACCCACGTGTACCTCAAAATCGCGCGACCCCAGACCCAGTCAGCTCCCCCTCATTGGGCTAGATCCAGACCTGGCCGGTCCCACTCTTGTCAAGCCCCACCAGGTGGGGGGCACAGCCTCAGGTCGCCTGGTCTGGCGCCAGGGTGGGGGGTGTGACCTGAGGTCCCCCAGCCCGGGCTGGGGCAGGGGGGACGGCTTGAGATCCCCTGTCAAGCCGTGCTGGGGGGGGAGTGGCCTGCCGTCCCCCAGCCTGGCTCTGGGGCAAGGGGTGCGGCCTGAGGGTCCCCTGTCAAGCCCCACTGGGTGAGGGGTGTGGCCTGAGGTCCCCCAGCCCAGAACCAGGGTGGGGGGCACACCTTGAGGTCCCTAGTTAAGTCCCGCTGGGTGGGGGGCACAGCCTCAGTTCCCCTGGCCCGGTGACAGGGCGGGGGCATGGCCTGAGGTCCCCTGGACTGGCACCAGGGCAGGAGGCACAGCCTGAGTTCCTCCAGCCTGGCGCTGGGACAGGGAGCAACCTGAGGTCCCCTGGCCCAGCACCAGGGCAGGGGGTGCACCTAGAGGTCCCCTGTCAAGCCATGCCTGGTGGGGGGCGCAGCAACAGGTCCCCTGGCCTGGTGCCCGGGTGAGGGGCATGGCCTCAGGTCCTCTGGCCCGGTGCCAGGGTGGAGGGCGTGGCCTGAGGTCCCCCGGCCCAGCACCAGGATGGGGGGCAAACCTTGAGGTCCTCTGTTAAGCCCCGCCTTGTTGAGAGACACGGCCTCAGGTCCCCTGGCCCGGTGCCTGTGGGGGGCATGGCCTGAGGTCCCCTGTCAAGCCCTGCTGGGTGGGAGGCATGGCCTGAGGTCCCCCCTTAAGCCATGCCGGGTGGGAGGCGCAGCCTCAGGTCCCCTGTCAAGCCCCACAGGGGGCAGGAGGCGCAGCCTCAGGTCCCTGCTGGGAACTCGGCCTCAGCTGTGGGTGCAGCCATCTTTGTGGTTGAGTGATGATCAATTTGCATATTCCCTCTTTATTATATAGGACTAGAGGCCTGGTGCACAAAAATTTGTGTACTGGGGGGGGGGTGTCCCTCAGCCCAGCCTGTGCCCTCTCGCAGTCAGCCCCCCCTCATTGGGCTAATACATTGTCACATATATATGTAAATAAATGCTCCATGGGCCCGGCCACTCCCCTCAGCTCTGGGCAGCCCACTGTGTTCCATGATAGCATGGTCTGCCCTCACATGCTGCTCTCCCTAAATGAGTAGGAAGAGAGCAGTTGGCCCATAGACAACTACACAGAAAGATAGGGCTCACGGCTGGCGAGTGCAGTGGCGGTGGCAGGAGTCTCTCCTGCCTCTGTGGCAGCACTAAGGAGCAGCGAGCCAAGTGGTAAGGAGCAGCGAGCAGGCAGGCGGTAAGGAGCGAGGGGTCCCAGATTGCGAGAGGGATTTCCAACTGTTGGCTTAGGCCCGGGCCTAAGCCAGCAGGTGGACATCCCCTGAGGGGTCCCAGATTGCAAGAGGGTGCAGACTGGGCTGAGGGAATTTTGTGCACCGGGCCTCTAGTACATTAATGAAATGAATTATCAAAGCACAGTGTTGGAGCACTGTGTTGTAGGTCCTTGCTTTTCATCACTTTGAATGTTTCTTGCCACTCCCATCTGGCCTGCAAAGTTTCTATTGGAAAATCAATAGTCATATTGGGCACTCCCTTGTAGGTAAGTAATTGCTTTACTCTTGCTGCTTTTAAGATTCTCTCTTTGTATTTAAATTTCTGCATTTTAATTATGATGTGTCTTGGTGTGAGCCTCTGTGGGTTCCTCTTTTTTGGAACTGTCTGTGCTTCCTGGACTTGTAACTCTTTCTGGACTATTGCTTTCACCTGGTAAGGCAGCGGTTCTCAACCTGTGGGTCTCGACCTTTGGTGGTCGATTGACCCTTTCACATGGGTCTCCTAAGACCATCCTGCATATCAGATATTTACATTATGATTCATAACAGTAGCAACATTACAGTTATGAAGTAGCAATGAAAATAATTTTATGGTTGGGTCACAACATGAGGAACTGTATTTAAAGGACCAGAAGGTTGAGAACCACTGAGGTAGGGGAAGTTTTCTGTCATTATTTCTTCAAATAGGTTTTCAATATCTTGCTATCTCTCTTCTCCTTCTGGCATCCCCATAATGTGAATATTGGTATGCTTGATACCAATTGATATGCTTGAAATTGTCCCAGAGGCTCCTGACATTATCTTCATATTTTTGGATTCTTTTTTCATTCTGCTCTTCTGATTGGGTATTTTTTTCCTCATATTTCAAATTGTTGATTTAATTCTCAGAATCCTCCACTCTACTATTAAATCCCTGTAAATCATTTTTTATTTCAGTTAGTGTATGTTTAATTTCTGACTGGTCCTTCTTCATGTCTTTGAAATTCTCCCCAAGATCCTTGCAAGTCTCACTAAGTCCCTTGAAGCTCTCATTAATTCCCTTGAAGCTCTCGTTAAGATCCTTGAGCATCCTTTTAACCACTGTTTTGAACTCTGTATCTAATAGTTTGCTTGCTTCCATTTCATTTAGTTCTTTTTCTGGAGATTTCACCTGTTCTTTCATTTGTGACACTTTTTTTGTCTGTATTTTGGCTGCTTTCCTGTGTTTGTTTCTATGTATTAGGTAGAGCTGTTATGACTCCTGGAATTGGTAGAGTGGCCTTGTGTAGTAGATGTCCTGTATGGCCTAGTGCAGTGATGGTGAACTTATGACACACGTGTCAGAGGTGACACACAAACTCATTTTTTTGGTTGATTTTTCTTTGTTAAATGGCATTTAAATATATAAAACAAATATCAAAAATATAAATCTTTGTTTTAGTATGGTTGCAAATATCAAAAAATTTCTATATGTGACACGGCACCAGAGTTAAGTTAGGGTTTTTCAAAATGCTGACACACCCAGCTCAAAAGGTTCGCCATCACTGGCCTAGTGGCTCAGCCTCCCCAGTCACCTGAGTGGGCACTCTAAGTGAAAACCTTTGTGAGGTATTGTGCACAGTCTTGTTGTAGTTGAGACTTGATTGCTGTTGGTGTCACTGGGAGTAATTGACCTCTGGGTCAATTGGCTGTGAGGACCAGCTGCGTCTATAGTGAAGCACTGCTAAGAAGACACCCCTAAGGAGCAGGACTTGCTTCAGTGGGGCTTTGGTGCTCACTGAGTCTGCTTCTTGAGTGTGTCCCTTGTGGATGTGTAGAGATGTAATCTGGTTTGGTCTGAAGGTGTCCACCAGGTGCACTGGCTCTTGGGCCTCCCAGGAGGTGCAAAGTCAGTCACTACCTAGAGCAGTGGTTCTCAACCTTCTGGCTCTTTAAATACAGTTCCTCATGTTGTGACCCAACCATAAAATTATTTTTGTTGCTACTTCATAACTGTAATGTTGCTACTGTTATGAATCGTAATGTAAATATCTGATATGCAGGATGGTCTTAGGCGACCCCTGTGAAAGGGTCGTTCGACCGCCAAAGGGGTCGCAACCCACAGGTTGAAAACCGCTGACCTAGAGCCATCTGGCAGGAGCTACAGAGCCCCTTGCAGATGGTTACTACTTGTATTGGGCTTGGAAGTGTCC